CCCCCCCCCAGCCTCCAGTCTCCGGCTCCCTTAGGTCCCGTGATGCAGCACTGCTCATGATGCCGGGGGCATGAGGTGTGTCCCAGCGCTGGTTCACTGGTTCACCGCTGGGTTTTTCCTTTTTTTTTGGAAGCCTGGGTGTTGTCCCTGTGCTGCTTTTGCTCAAAGCTAGCACTCTACCACTTGAGCCACAGCTCCACTTTGTGGTTTGTTTTTAGTAGTGTATTAGAGCTAAGAGTCTCACAGACATTCCTACCTGACTGACTTTGAACCGTGATCCTCAGATTTCTGCCTCCTGAGTAGCTAGGATGACAGGCCTGAGCCACCAGCCGGCACCTTCACTGGTGTTTTCACTTGACAAACATCTACCCTGGCAACTGTCATACCTCCCAGCCTGGGGCCAGGTCAGCCAGGCTTTCCTGGGGGGCTGTGCCCCCTGGGATTGTTCTCTGTGGGCATGAGACTGTCGCGATGTCCTTGCCTGCACAGGAGGTGTATGCTCGGTGCATCTGGACAGGCCTCTCCAGACTGGCACCACGTTGGTGCAGCAGGCCGGTGTGAAGGTGCCTGGAATCCATGGAGTAGGAGCCCCGGGGGTCAGGCAGCGAGGGTTGGGGTGGATGGAACTCCAGCAAGAGAAAGGCCAGGCCAGGCATGGTCACGCTGCAGACGCTCCTCCCAGCCTAAAGCCTCAGCCCGAGTTGAGGGGCCTGCCCGCTGCTCAGCAGACCTTGTCTTCAGCAGGAGCTTGGCATATCCTGGCAGGGGCCTTGGCACAGCGGGCGTTTGTCTGCAGCTCACCTTAGATGCAGCGAGGAACGCACCTGATGTCTATGTCACTTCCAAGAGAACATTCCATCGTGTCTGCTCTCTGGAGGAGGAAGCCCACTGGGATGCTGCCACCTCTGATGTGATTCTAGTTCCCCAGCTGGGCAGGCTCTGTGGCCAGTCCCCTGCCCTCTGGCTGGCTGAGGGCATGCACATTTTTCTCTGGGCTCCCCAGAGAGTTTCATTCCTGCTTTATCTGCACAGGTCTGGGCCCCTCCCTCAGTCTGTATGGAGCCCAGGTGCCACCCCACAGACTGGGCCCAGCTCCCTCACCAGCTTATGTAGAATGCTTAGCTGTTCATGACTTCTAGCAAGGCCCATCTGTCTCCATGCCCTGCTGGAACAGACCTTGGCCTGGCCCTGGGATCCAGGCTTCGTGAGGGACTCTCATGTGGCTGGGCAGACGCTCTGGAGCACAGACACTGGGAATGGCCGGAAGAAGGTTCCAGCACCAAGGCTCACCAGGCCACCCTGAGACCCTGCCTGCCTTTGCCTGCAAGGCCTGCTGCGCTGAACCTGACTTGCCTTGCCTCCTTTCCCCTGGCAGGCAAGTTCAGAATGTCCACACGGGCCTGGACCTGTCGGTGCCCCAGCACCAGGAGGTGCGGGGCAAGATGCTGTCCGGCCACGTGGAGTACCAGATCCTGGTGGTGACGCGGCTGGCCACCTTCAAGTCCGCCAAGCACAGGCCCGAGGACGTCGTCCAGTTCTTGGTGAGTGGGGCACCCTGGCCGGGGTCCTCTGGAACCAGGTAGGCAGACACACCTGCCCGATGGGATGTGGGTGACATGTCGGGGGTGCGGCACTTCCCCGGTCCCTGGCTCCTGAGTTCCTGAGTGTCCCCTGAGAGCACCCAGAAGTGAGTCAGGTACGTACAGTTCACCGGACACAGGCTTGAAAAGTGGCAGATAGAGATGGAAAGGGAAGCAGGGTGGGCCATGAGCCTGTAGAGAATGAGCACCTTACCCATCCCTGAGGAAGGGGTTCTAGAACCTTCTTGGAAGAGCTGAGTGTTAGGTAATTCGATAGGTAGGTTTAATTAGGTAGCTGATAAAGAGAACAGCATACAGTATTCAGGCAGGAAGAGATGTTTGTTTTACCAAACTGCTTGCCTAGGCCGTGCACAGTGGAGACTACAAGGCAGAAAGGGGAGGGGCTGGGCTGGGAAGGTGGCTCAATGGTAGAGCCCTTGCCTTGCATGCGTGAGGCCCTGGGTTTGATTCCTCAGCACCACAAAAGCAGAAAAAGCTGGAAGTGGCACTGTGACTCAAGCGGCAGAGTACTAGCCTTGAGCTGAAGAGCTGAGGGACAGCGCCCAGGCCCAGAGTTCAGAGGGGGGGGGGGGCTGAGCTGGGGCCTGGATTTAAGTAGGGAAGGGGCGGGGGAATAAGGTGTGGCTAGGTGAGGGTAGGTGTGGCCACACCAGGTGCGGATGTGACCTCAGGGCCTGGGACCCTTCCCTGGTCAGATGGGAGATGTGACCCAGGGCAGCCCAGGATGTGACCTCAGAGGCTGGGAGGTGACTGCCCAGGTGTTCCAGTTATCTAGGTGACACAGGTACTGGGAGGATACTTAGCCAAGAGGAGGGGGTGGTCTGCCTTCTGGGGCCGACCTTACACTGAAGACAAAGCCATATTTTAGAGAACCGATCATGCTAAGCAATAAGGGGGTGGGGGGGAAGCGGGGGAGTCCTAAGCCAAGAGCATAGCCTAAGCAAAGGCACGGCTCAGAACGGGTGCGGGGTGAATGAGGGGAGGACTCTGAGCAGTGGAGGCTGGTTCTAGGAGGAAGCAGGAGGAGAGGAGGATGGATGCAGGCAGCATCCAGGTGCACTTACAGCCAAGCAGGAAGTTTAAGCAGGGCAGTGCCAGGGAGACCTGGAGCTGGAGTGGCAGAGAGAGGCCGGGGCAGGCAGCCTGCTTCTGAGCCAGCACACAGAGCCCCCCGGCAAGGGCTTGGAGCTGCCGGCTGGCATCGGTTGGGAAGGAAGGCAGGGGGAAGACGTCCATATTTACAATATGGACAACCAGGAGCAGCATGGGGGGGCAGGTCCAAGGGAGGCCTGTGTGGAAGATGCAGGGTCTCCCCGTACCTGGACGTGGGGAACAGCCCCAGAACCAGGGGAAGATGCAGGTCTGGAGACACCAGCTTGGAGGTGGTGATGTTAAAAATTCAGGATGTGGAGGATAGGAGAAGGGCTGAGGAGGAAATCCTGAGCATGTCTGCACATCAGGGCCGGCCAAGGATGAGAAGAGCGGAGGCTGAGGGGAAAGAAAAGAGCTGGGCAGCGGCAGAGCCGCGGGCTAGGGGCGCAGAGTGCTTCCACAAGGTCAGGTCACACACTCCCTTACTTTGGTCTCTTATAAGAAGGGTCTGGACCTGGTGACCAGGAAAGGTTTTAGGGTAAGTGAAAGTCAACTAGTGTCATGCAGTACCTAAGGGAGTAATCTGGTGTGAAGTTGCTGGCAGCCAAGGCAGATCAACGCAGTGCGGGAGATACTAAAATCTATGAGAAATGAACGGCACAAAACTTCCTCTTGGGGACCCTGAGCAACACCATGAGGAGATTCTCAACCAGCAGGGCTGTTCTGCTTGCTCCGCTAGGGAGGATGTGAGCTGGTGCTTCTTTGTCTGTGCTGTGCAGACAGGGGCTCTGTTCTTAGGGGCCATTTGCAGCTCCTGGTAATCTAACTTGACCCAGGAAGGCGCTCAGGACAGCTGTGTCTTTAAAGACAGGACCAGCCAGCACCTGAGGGTGATGGCTGCTTGGGGCATGAGGGAGAGGCGGCCCCTGGCCAGCCGTGGGTCCTGTGCAAAGGGCTGAGCCTCCCTGCAGAGTGTGCCACGCGGTCCTGACCTGTAAGGCCATGCCTGGTGGGGTGTAGGCTCGTGCATGTGTGTGCGTGTGTGTGAGGGTGTGCCTGGGCACATAACATGAAGTCCCCACAGAGGAAAGGAAAGCTCACATGTTCCCATAGGATCCGGTATGTGGTCCAAAGTTGCATGCCTGCCCATCTGTAATCTCTTTGGAATTTCGTGATTTAATAAGCATCTTATGTTATTTCATATAAGTGTACATGTTGCTAGCCCTGGGGCAAAGCCAAGGGAGGGGCACTTGTATCCTGGGTGGCAGACACTGTGTGTGCAAGGCACAGACAGGCATGTGCGTACAGTAGAGAGTAGAGGGGCACCATTGCTGTCTGCCCAGTGCTCCACAGTGCCCAGCACATGGGAAACATCAGGTAATTGTGACCCCCTCACCTCAAGTCCTGTTTCTCTCCTGGCTGTTGCTGGAACACAGCTATAGATGTGAGCCCTATGTGGGGTGAAGCCAGGCTTGGAGCCTTGTCTTGCTGGGCATGCTTGGAGTAGTCAGGCCAGCAGGGGGCGCTCAGCCCCCACAGCACAGCCAGTTGCTCAGGACAACTCAGGTGCCCATGAAATACTCTAGAAAAAGCTAGAACTCTCAAATTGGGTGGTGGGTGGTGATACTCGTTAGCCAGATGGGGGGAGTCCAGACAAATCCCACCAGAGATCCACAAGGCCTCCCAGAGACCTGAGTACACAGAAAATGCTCCCATGTAGCCACATACCAGCATGCTAAAGGGGTGCAAAGGGTGCAGACCAGGCCTGGGGGTGCAGTTGTCCTTACCTTCATTCCTGACACTGCCCAGCCTCCAGGGAAGTGTTGAGTCTGGGACAGAGGGGCTGTGGGCTGTGGTGGAAGCCTAGACAGGTGACTTCTCTGAGACCTCGGGGCCTATACAGAGCCCACTGCAGTGTAGCTGCTCACCCATAGTCCTGGGGTCTCCTGGCACCACACACATGGGCAAGGGCACGATAAATTAAGAAAGAACCCTTGAGCTGGGCACCGGTGGCTCAGAAGCCTAGCCACACAGGGGGCTGAGATCTGAGGATCACAGTTTGGAGCCAGTCTGGGCAGGGAAGTACATGAGACTCTTATCTCCAATTAACCTTCAAAAAACTGGAAGTGGAGCTGTGGCTCAAGTGGTAGAGCACTAGCCTTGAGCAGAAGAGTTCTGGAACAACACCAGCACCCTGAATTTAAGCCTGAGGACCGAAAGTAAAAAAGGAAGAAAGGAACCCTTGGTTGCCTAGCAGTTGTGCAGGGGCTGGGGAGGAGGAGACGGCCAGCCCTCAGCCCTGCAGGAAGCAGAGCTGCCCTTGGGGACTTAGGGGTGCTTGGGGCCCTTTTACAGCAGCAGCGGAGTCCTGAGCAGCTTCACCCAATCCCAGGAGCTTCAAATGCTCGCATCAGGGCAGAGAACCAGCTTTGGTGGTGGCAGGCACCACGCACATGTGGTATCCTTGCTGAGCTGCAGCTACTTAACAGGGAAGAGAGCAGTTAGGAGGTCTGTGCTGAGAAAGGGGGGCTCAGTGTCACTAGATGGTGATCCCACCTCCTTCCAGGGGCTGAGACTGCCCCACTAATGCACCGAAAGCCCCGGATGCAGGCAGCAGCCGTAGTCACCTACAGGCCAGCAAGGCCCCTGGATCAGATGTCATTAGTATCTGGAATCCCTCCTTTATTTATTTACTTACTTGCATCATCCCTTCGGGCCTGTAAGACTTTCCCGCTGGACGGGAGTCTGAGGCAGGGAGGCAGTGGGGACAGCAGGGGCTCCAGGTGAGCATCTGACCACTCACTCAGGAACACCTCATGCTTCCCTCACTCCAGGTCTCCAGGAAGTACAGCGAGATCGAAGAGTTCTACCAGAAACTGAACAGCCGCTACCCAGAAGCCAGCCTGCCCCCCCTTCCCAGGAAGGTCCTGTTTGTGGGAGAAGCTGACATCCGGGAAAGGAGAGCCATGTTCAATGAGATTCTACGTTGTATCGCCAAGGATGCCCAGTTGGCAAGCAGCCCAGAGCTGCTAGAATTCCTAGGTACCGGCGGATCCCTCCCACATCCCTGAAGTCTCCTTGGCCCACAACCCACTTCACGGTCCTGGCAGTGCAGGAATGGGTCCACAGTGGCGTGTCTCCCCACCCCCAGCAGCCTGGACGCAAGCGGGCCTCACTGATGCCTTTGTCTGGGGCGGAAGGAGGAGGGGCTGACCGCCTGAGTGCTGGGTGGCTCATACAGAACGCTCTTTATCAGTGTGGCCCCGCCAGGCCCTTCCTGGACAGCCCACTCCTGATGGCTCCCTCCACTCGCACACCTGCATGCGTGCCAGCCAGGCGTGCTAGCCAGGCACAGGGGCTGCGAAGCCCTCGGGGCACACGGCTCTCCCTTGCGTTCCACACAGCTGTGGATGCAGCTAAGCTCCACTGCACCGTAACGTAATCGGGACCTCAGCCCTCCCCACCCTGCCCCCTCCACTCCCCCCTCCAGTGTTCTCATGTGTTAGGTGGGGAAATAACTCCTGGGTTGAAGAACATGAGGTTGAGTGAGTTTGCATAGGTGAAATACCTCCAGTGGGGCCTGCCACACGAGGATACCCCTGCCCTGGCAAACGAACCCCCACCATCACACACACCCTGGGCAGCATCTGCTCCCCCCAGACCCCCTCCATCTGCCCCCTCACCCCAGAACCCCACCCCTGCACATTTACACACACACACACACCTCCTCACAGCATCTGCCCCACCCACCCCAGAAAACAACTCCCCCCCCCCCCCCCCCCCCCCCCCCCCGAGCATCTTCCCCACATGATCTTACCCACAGGCAGCCCCATTGGTGGTACTGGATTCTCAGTCTACTGACTTTTTCCCCTTCAGACCGGTGGTTTACCTTAAACCTGTCTCTGATTTCTGCTGATCTCCACCCCACCTCCTGATCCACAGGACAAAGACTATCTGTGTATGTGGTACCGAGGAATCGAACCCAGGGCTTCATGCATGCTAGACAAGCACTCTACCACTAAGCCATATACCCAGCCCTATCTTTCAAAAGAAAGTTGACAACAAATCAACTTTTCATGTATACCAGTACTGGGATTTGAATTCAGGTCTCAAGCACTCACTTGGCTTTTTCTGTTCTGCCACTCAGCCACCACATCTCCATTTCAGCTTTTTGGCAGTTATTTGTAGATAAGAATCTCACAGACTTTTCTGTCCAGGCTGGCTTCAAACTGTGATCCTCAGATCTCAGCCTCCTGAGTAACTAGGATTATAGACACAAGTGACCAGCACTTGGCTGAAAATCCGTTTTTTAAAAAAACGAGGCTGGGGAATGGAAGCAGAGCCAGAAGATGCACAGAACGGGGCGGTCGGACACACGTGTAGAGCCCAGGTTTCCTGCGTGCATTCCATATCCTGTGCTGTCTCCTGCACACAGCCGTGCTTGCTCCTCCCACTCTGCCCTGCCAGGCCTGTGAACGCAGTGTAAAGGACGTCCATGGCTAGAAGGAAGGCTCAGGATGTCCTCACTCCTGCAGAGAGAGGACAGGAGGATCCAACTCCGTGAGCCCCTCGAAGCCTGTTTCCTCATCTGCAAAAGGAAATCATGGAGGTCTTGTGATATTTAAATGCAGGGTGCTTATTACACAGCACTATTTTCCAACCTTTGAATAGAAGAACATCATAACATTATGCAGTGTAATTATTACAGCGCAGTACATCCTGTATCAAAGTGAGGAACACTCTTTTTTTTAAGTGTATTACCTACAGGGTGGTATTTTTGAATAGTGCTTGGAAAGATAGATTCTGCAGTCACTACTTTGCATAGAGATGAACAAGTAGTCCAAACCCACGCTTCTCAAACTGTCCGTGGTCGGGGGGGGGGGGGTGAGCCTGTCACAGATGACTCCCAAGTACTGTGCTCAGATGTCGAGCTGATGTGAGTTCCTGAATGTTGTTCTCTCTTCCTCCTGTGGACACCTGTCTGTGGAACACTCTTGGAGAAAACCCTGATCTAAGCCAGCTTACCAGAGGGTGATCACACTTTGTTCTGGAATCTTCCACGAATTTATTCTGCACTCACTGTTCTCAGCCTCTGGGAGCGGGTCTCAGTCTGTGGTTGGGTCAGGGGAGGTCCCGGCTGTGCCCCACCACTAACGCCAGCTGAAGGTGGCGTTCCTGTGTCACTCATTCTGTGGTGGCTGGGCCTGTCTTGCCATTCATTGAGGTCCACTGGGCTCTGGGCCACTGGGGTTCAAGAACCCCCCACCTTGGCATCATACCAGTGTTCCTCCCCTGGTGCCCCCCGCCCTCTGGGAAGCTGCCACACACACTTGGGTGCCCCCAAATGGTTCCTCGCCATCTTCCCTGGGCCAAGTTTGGTCCCAGGAAGCCACGGGAAGTCCTCAGCCTCAGATCCAGTCCCAAGACATTGCAGTGCAGTTTTTCGGTAACTTCCTTCTCCATCTTCCCGTGCAGGTACCAGGTCCCCAGGATCGGGGGGTGTCTCCAGAGATGCCTCCATCCTGCGTGGCACAGACAGCCATGCACAGGACGATGAGGAGGCTTTTGACTTCTTTGGGCAGCAGGACCAAGTAGCAGCCGAGGGGCCTTCCATTCTGGGCCGGAAGGGCAAGGAGGGCCACAAGTCTCTGGAGGAAAAGCAAGAGGAAGAAGAGGAGGAGGAGGAAGCATTGGACCCTTTGGGCATTATGCGGTAGGTCTCTTGTTGTCCACACAGCTCCTGCCTGCAGGTTCCAGGCTTTCTGGAAACAGCCCCTGTCCTTCCTAGGTCCCCCATGGCCTTAGCCAGCATGCAGCTCTGCTTGACCTACATCACCTATGTCTCGGGGGCCAGATTCAAGTAGCCTCTGTCCCTCCCTGGTCACTGTGTCCCCTGTCCCAGACTGCATTGGGGCCTGGTGGAGTTGGCCCTATGATAACTCCATAGCCCAGGCTGCTGTACCAAACTGCCTGGCACTGGGGTCTCCGGCCTTCTTGTAGCGGAGTGCCTGGTGCTGTGACTGCTGCAGAAGCAGTGTCCTTGGCTCCACGCCCCTCCTCCCCCCAGGGCAGTGGAGGCCCTCATGAATCATGCAGGTGGCAGGGATTATGACCCCACATGACACAGAAGGTAAATAAGGTGTGTGCATGCACACACCCTGGGTAAAGACAAGCAGGCCAGCCACATGCCCCTGTTCCTTTCCTGGCTCTCTTGAGTGCCTTCAGCCAATCAGTGAGCTCCTGAGCCTCTTCTGCCTGGTGCACCCCATGCTGGCTGAGGGCAGGAAGCACGGGCTACATGATAGGACTGGAGAGCTAGGGAGCTGCTCTCCCGGAGCTCCATGGTGGATAGCCTGAGAAGTCTGGCTGGGTGTTCCATCCAGAAGCCAGTGGCTTTTCTGAGTGATCCAGATCACTCAGCCACTCGTGGGCCATGCTCAACTGGCCCCTGTCCCTCCCTGCTCACGGGTATCCTCTGCCCCTGCTGACTTCTTGTTCTGCACGTTTTTTTTGTCTCGGCCCACCCTAGCTGGAGCTGTTTTCTGGGCACCTATGGTGTGTGTCGGATGTTGTACTTGGCTTTAGCTTTACATACCAGATCGCTTGGAAAGCGGCTTTTATCCCATTTTGCAGATTTAGAAGCTCAAGTCTGCAGAGGCCATGTGCCCTGTCTGAGGTCAGACAGCTGCACTGGGTGGCGTCCAAGTCTGAGATGCTGATCTCTACCCCGTCTCTGCCATTTGCCAGCCACGGGGCTCCAGCCATTGCCTCTTTCTTTCAAGCTCTTGATAGTGCCTGCCTTTTAGGCTGTCTGGAAGGTAAACCAAGCTGTACAGCTGTTAGCCATCAGCAAGGCCCATTCTTTCTACAGAATCCTGACCGTGGGGCCAGGTGCCTTCTCCCTGCTGTGGCATGCTCTCGGTCTGCACACAGACGAGGGTGGCCTGCCTTGTGGGACCTGCTTCCGAAAGGAATCAGAGGAAGGTTAGACCCAGATGATGTGCAGGATGAGATCCTAACAGCACAGCCTGTGCTATATCGCCCTTCTGCTCAAGCATGGGCTGTGAGGCCAGCAGAGAGGGATGACGATGCCATTGGGGAAAGGTGCCAGGGCTCAGGGCAGGGGGGAGGAGGGGGTGGAGGGAGGCATCCATCCCCTTACAGTGTCTCTCCAGCCAGGCCCTGTCCCCGAGGGACAGCAATGAGGATGGTGGGAGAAGCCATTCCTTCTCATCCTGTGCAAGCCTTGGACTTTATTTTGGTTAGGAGAAGATGTTGATTGAACTCCTGCTCTTGGTCTGAGTAACCATGTAGAGTGCCAGTTTGAAACAAACTCCAGGGATTCATGCCAGCATTTGACTGAAGGACACTTAGAAGAGAGGCTCCTTTTTTGGGTAGGAAAGTGCTCTTTGGGGTTGGCAAATGCAGCCTTGACTTTGCCACTCATACGGTAGCAGAGTTGGGGGGGGTGCATGGGCAGACATGGGACCATTTCCCTCAGCTCTGCCCTGTGGACCCCGAATCCTGGACCCCCCCTCCCGCACAGAAAAGGCACATCCTCTCGTTCTGGTTTTCCTTAAGGACTAGTGTGACAGTCATTGACATTACCTGCTGGGTCAGGAATGTTTCTCCAAAGCTTTTTAAATGCCAGGGATTGAGCTAATTAGCATGAGCTCACCTTAGCTCATTTTACCTTTCAGACAGAACTTCTGGAATCATTTTGATACACGCCCACCATAATACTGTATGTTGTGACCCTGAGTACCTATGTCATATAAAACTGGAACAAGTTTTGAGAACACATGAGAAACCTGATATTTCCTACACATTTCATTTTATGAAAAGCCCTGAATTCTTTTGGGGCCCATTATGAATCTAGGGTGGAAATGGAGCTTGTCTTCTCTTAGCCTACACAGATGGAGATAGAACGTGTATGTGTGCGTGGGCATGCACATGCAGGCACTAGAGCTTGAATTCAGAGCCTCGGCGCTGTCCCTGAACTTTTTAGCTCAAGGCTAACATTCTACCACTTGAGCCACAGCTCCACTTCCAGATTTTTGGTGGTTAATTGGAGACAAGAATCTCACAGACTTTCCTGCCCAGGCTAGCTTTGAACCTTGACCCTCAGATCTCAGCCTCCTGTGTCATTAGGATTATAGGCAAGAGCCACCAGTGTCCACAGAGCCAGAACTTGAGGTCATTTCCTGTTCCATCTTTCAGTAATGGGGAAGGTAGTCGAGACCCAAAGGTTGTCTTTTCACTGGTAGGGAAATCAAGGACACAGTGGAACAGGGACTTGGCCAAGTCTGGTATCTGCCAGAGCCTAGTCTTGAGGACAAGTTTACCCCTGGGTCTCTCATGGACACCCGGATGGGCCCTGTCTTTTATTAGGCTGCCTACCTCACCCTTTGGTAGGGAATACCGTGTTATTCACAGGTAGCTGGCTCCCCGGCTTCCATTTAGCCTGGTTTGGGGGCCTCCTGAAGCAGCCATTTCCATACACCAGGCCCAGCCCTTCCCTGTTGTGGCCACAGTGGGGCACTGTGTCTCCACTGCAGCATTGCCTGCACTGCTGGGAGAGTTAGGCACAAAGCTGGAGGCGGGCTGGGCTAGCTTTTCTTTGTCTTTTCAACCTGCTTCTGATTGGGGAGAGGAAGTGTCATTTAGCCGTGGCAGAGCCTAGGAAAAGGCCTGACCCTGCCCTGCCCTGTCCACATGACAGCAGACGCGGTGCCATTTCACACTCCACCGGGTGGTTTTATCTTCTGTCCTCCTTCTTGTGTGTGGCTTTGTGTTTAACTTCCTATTTCAGTGTCCTCGTGGTTCTGAGAAAATGAAAGTTCTACCGTTGAGTTGTACCTTCAGCTGGAAATCCTGTTAGAAACATTCTTCACTGTGACTCAAATAATATACAATTAAGAAAAAAATGGAGAACCCAGATGAAAATCCTTTCGTCATGAATACATACACATCTGAGTGTTAACAGCGCTGTCCCTTCATTTGCTGTTTTCAGCTTATATTGCTAGATCTTTCTGGGTCCGTTATACCCAGACAGGCCAATGCTTGTCACAGGCAGTAACTTGAACAGATCGCACATGTATAGTGTTTGTTCTGTTGGACCACTGGGCCCCAAGTGAGGTCCCCAGAGCTTCTGCTAGAGGGTGGGGGAAGGGAATCCAGGCTCCTTGCAGGCTGCATGCCCCTGATGGAGGCCTCCCTGCTTCTCTGGGCACTGCCTGGCTCTTCCCCAGCCTGCATCCCAATCCTGGGAGTCCCTGTCCAGGTCCCAGGTCCCTGCCAACATGGCTTCCTCCCATGCCCGCCCACTGCGAGCCTGACCTCCCACGCTCTCTGAGCTATGGCCTTTGCTGGTGAGCTGACCTCTCTCGAGAAGGCTGTGTTTCACTGTCACTTTCTTATGTGGAATTTGCTTCATTTTCTATATAACAAACCGCTTGTGTTTTAGTGTAAAGATACTGTACTTGCTCTGTTTGGATTCTGTGGTTTTCAATGCCTGATGCGCTGCAGGTGTCTCCCCATTAGCTAACCCATCATTTAGAATGGAAACCACACACACACAGTAGGTGAGCTGTGGCAGGAACTCTGGGGATGGGTGACCTTAAGCCCTATTTCCAGAGAAGCCCTAGTACTGTATCTCTAGGGTGACTTGCAGAATAAATGGCATTGCTCTTACACTGGGGACTCAGCCCGGGCTCTGGGTGTTTTTCTGGATGTCTCCAGAATAGCAGAGAGCAACCAGGGCTGGTACATCAAATGGTATATCTGGAAGTGGGCAGAGATGCAGATTCTCAGGCTCCCTGGACCCTGGGTGGAGCCCCAGATACAGTTTCAGCAAGCCCTCCTGCTGAGTCTTGTGAAAGTGTGGGCTGGCGGAGCCCAGAAACCAAACCCTAGAAGACTGGGAGGCATCTGTAGCTCCTAGGTGCCCCCGCGAGGGCATGCTCCCCCATCTCCCGTCCCTCCTCCCGGGAGTTCCATGGTTATCCATTCCCACAGTGGAAGCAGAGGCATGGCTAACCAGGCCGTATGTCCATTGGTACTCCCTGGTGCCCGGCCCTGGCCTGGCCAGTCCCAAAGTAGTGAGGAAGACAGCAATCAGGACATGCAGCCACCCTTACCCAGCAGTTCCTCCCGGCTGCACTTCCCAGCCAGCCTGAATGAAGGGGCCCGGGGACCACAGAGAGAACTGGATGAAGGGGCCCGGGGCACAGAGAGAACTGAATGAAGGGGGCCCGGAGACCACAGAGAGAACTGAATGAAGGGGCCCGGGGCACAGAGAGAACTGGATGAAGGAGGCCTGGGGACCACAGAGAGAACTGGATGAAGGGGCCCGGGGCACAGAGAGAACTGGATGAAGGGGCCCGGGGACCACAGAGAGAACTGAATGAAAGGGGCCCAGGGACCACAGAGAGAACTGTGGTTTCTGCTTTTTTACTTTGGTAGCAAAATCCTGGATCCAAGAGAAATCTCGTCCAGAAGCTGTTATACAAAGCCATTTGAAGCAGAATGGCCTCTCTGAGACAAGAGCCAGCAAAGGGGCACCTCACTGTCCCCCAGCCTCAGGCTCCTCTCCTGAGGGGCCCTGGGCAGCTTGGCTGAAGACCAAGGCCCTTTATGATATAGTCAGGAAACCACTGGCAAAGCTGGAACCCCAGGGTGCATGGTCACCCCAGAGCAGGGCTCAAGGTTCAG